AAAATTCTTCCCCGAAATTTTTGTTTTATGGTCCGCATATATTTAATTAAATTATTATTTAATTTTCATATATTTCTATTTTACTGAAACAAAAACTGATAGCATAATGAATAATGAGACACGCTTTAGATACCGTACAAAATATAAAATATTCTAAGAAGACTTTGGTATTTATATACACAACTTTTACATTTCTTCGTACTTATAAAGACAACAATATATAAATAAAATCTAGATATAATACAAATATTGATTACAATATATTGAACTTTTATCAGATCAAACATTATTTAGAGAGTATCTATTATTCGTGTCTTTGACATATTTCGCTGATTTATTGTTCAATTTGGCAATATTTGTTCATAAAATGTTGTATTTAAGCAAAATTGAATTTATTGTTGCGGCTTGCTGCTTGCATATGTTTATTTGTTTCATAAATATTTAAAATACTGAATTATGCATAGGCGAGGCGTTTTAAATTATTCTACAGTTTTTACTCATTGTTTAAATAAAACACAATTGCTATAGACATAGTCAATTGCACAACAAAAGGCTGCAGGCAAAGTATGTAAATAAACAAGGATTGCACATTTGGCAAGAGCACACGAAGCAAGTGGCGACAGGAGCAGCAACAGCAGCAGTCTTTGCATTCTGCCTTGTGCCTTGCACTGGCTGCTGTCTGCTATCTGGGGAAATGTTGCTTAGAATTTTCTTAAGTAAATCTCAGTTGAACACTTTTCATTTAGCCTTTCAGGCAGGCCAAAAATAAAATAAAAATAAAAACCAAGCAACGAGCAAATGAAATAAGTAAGAACAGGATGACTCTGACTGCACAATTCTCGCTTATGATTAAACCAAGAGGTATAGTTTTTCAAAAATCATATTCACAAATGGATTTATTACCAAATTTCTAGATTGCAAAAAGAAATTAATATTTTTATATATTTTGTTCTAATTATATACTCAATTTTTGCCGAATCTTAATAAAACTCTAACTATAATAAATTGGGAGATATGGATGATAATTTAAGCTTAAATATACATATATTTATAAGCAAATATACAGCTTAGTGAACCAAGCAACTCTCTTCCTTTCTTGAACGAGTATCGTAAAGCTGTAAATGCAAATTGCGAGGGCAGCGAGAAGTGCTCGTTGACAGCTGCTAGACATTGGATAAGTGCAAATTTATAAATAAAGGAAATATCATGTGTATGACATTTTGTCAGCTAAAGTCGATGTTAAGTTTTGATAACAAAAAAAAAATGGTTATTGTAAAATTAATTTGTTAACTAAAATTTGAATTCAAATTTA